TCCGTTCTGAACATTTTTTGAACAATACCGACAAAAGCTAAACAAAAACGGAACAAAAACAGAACAAACTTTTTTTACAGGAATGCGTAACAAGAAATGTGTAAAGTCCGAGGCATTGCTGAGAACATTATACTTTAGATTTATACAAAGACTATAATCATGTTGTTGTCATATCAAATGACAATGACTAGTAATGGACACTGCGCAAAAATCCCGCGCGGGATTATATAATTCGGGCAGTGTCATAAATCTGGCCGAGTTCCGAAATATTCCGAGGTCGAGGTAAAATTTTGGCTCATTTCCGCAAGATTCCGAAATATAAAAAAACGATCCCGCGAATCCCGCGCGTAATCCCGCATTCCGCGCGGGGTTTTTAAAAAACAGCCGATTGCCCATCACTAACCATGACACTGCACCACGTCTAAAATAGAACACACATATATATAATTTAGACTATTTTTTTAGAGACTAATTATAGTATGTCAATATGTCAAAGTATTAATGTAGGTTTCAAATTGGATTTTTTAACACAAAAATTATAAAGAAAATAAAATCCGATTCATAATTTATTATGCAAATCACAATAAATATTTTACTAATTTCCTATCAAGTACTTCTCAAAATGAAATTTGGTGTTTTTTTTTGTCTGCCCTTAAAACCCACTTATACTATTTAATAAAAATTTATACCTATCAAAAAAATGTAAAGACTTATTATTCTTGATTTAATTTTATCAAATTCATTTAATTTTTTTTACAATACTATATACCATGATAATATTTACGTACCCAATATCTAGAATTTTGGATCCCGGTTTAGATAAAACATGTTCAACGGGAGCAGAAAAGTTGTAGAGGATATATGAATCTTTTATATTATGATATCTTCTACTATCAGAATATCGAAATTCTGACTGTGAATTTTGTGAATTGATAGATTCAGTTTTTTCATTTAATTTAGAAGCAAAGCAACCCATATTCATTTTTTTTTATGATATAAATTTGCTTTTTGACAAACATTACGGAATTTAAGTAAAATCTGGCATTTATAATTACTTATCTAAAAAAAGATTAATAAATGTTTATTATTCATAATAGTTTATCGAAGAGTGTTTGGAACTGTTAATACAATGAATCAAATTAAATTATGCATATATTCTGCATGGCTTACTCAAATAATTAAATATATAGAACAAAATTGAATTTGTAAATTCATTTTGACAATAGCAACCAATGAAATTAACCTAAGGTGTCAAAATTTTTCAAATTATCTCGTTATTGTTACAGTTTGAATTTTATATACAATTATCAGACAATATAAATTAATTTGTGACGCATCTATTTAGAATCTGTTAGTACAAATATAAATGCATTCATACGAATGTGTGAGTGATTTTCTGTAGCTACGCAATATTGGTAATGCAATATGTAAATAAGAAAGACTTGATGACCTTAATAAAAGAGAAAGCTCTAGGATGCCAGTAAAAATAATAGCTTAACAACTTTATGCTCCCGTAATAATTATCTCAGTAACTTTAATTAGATCCGTAACTTCATATATTAAAAACGTAATTTCAGTTTTAACTATAAATTATATGTAAAAACTATCATAAAACTGTTATAATAAAAATAATGTTCAATTTAATAATATTAATCGAGAATTACGCTACTATTCGAACTAGCGATGGATATATTGTATAATTTGGGTAGTGTCATAATTCTGGCTGGATTCCGAAATATTCCGGGCCAAGGTAAAATTTTGACCATTTCCGTAAAATTCCGAAACATAAAAACCCCAATCACGCGTGGGATTTTTAGAAAATCAGCCGATTGCCTATAAATAATTCGAACCCACCAGTTTTTTTATGCATCAATTTCTACTTCTCAAATAATGCACCGAATCAAAGTTGCTATTTATAATAAACATCAAATTTAACTGTAAAAATTTTAGGCTTAGGCCACGCAAAGTTGATTTTTCGTTTTGCATTACATGGATTTCAAAATTAGGGACGGACGGACGGAAATTTTTTTTTTTAATCCAATTTACTGCAAATAGAATAATTATCACAT